GATACTAATGGGCTAATGTTCATATACTGTATATTACTTACAGTCACTAGTCAATAAAAAAAATGGCACATTTGGCCTAAGTATAACCAGATTCCTCCAATTTAAGGAGGCCTCCATATAAAGGACAGTAAGGGTGCCCATAGGTATCCCTTTTAGAGAGAGGTTTGACTCAGGTACTGTCACTTATCATTATAGCTCATCAACAGCAGCTGCTATTAAAGATTAATACACAAAAGCATTGAGCAAGCATAGGTGGTAATGGGGAGGTATATAGATATTATTATAATAATTGTTATTGTTCAGTAATAGCTGTCAACAGCAGCTGCTACTAAAAATTAATACACAAAAGCAATGAGAACCATCTATCACTGGACTAATGGGGAGGTACATAGATTGTTATAATAATAATTATTTTTACAAATTCTCATCCAACAACAGCATCTGCTACTAGTCCAGAAGCTACTCAACCATCAGGTAATTACATATTAATAAATGATTCAATCACTGATGTACATTATATACTTGATGTTATCATCCTATGCTACGTAGAAAATTTGAGCTAATTCCGATCAAATTTTGATTTTTTATGAATTTTTAAAGTTTCTCCAAAATCGGACAAAAGTCCCTGTACTGTAGTACATGGTCTCAGGTCAAATTTTGCCAAAAATGAAAAGTAAAGAATTCTCAATTTTTATTACATTTCCTGATACATTATACATGTACTTATGTTTTGTAGAAAGTTTGAGCTGACTCAAATCAAATGTGGGTTTTTTTTAAAAACCACATTTTTTATAGTAACTGCTGGTATAGTTTGATTGTCAACAACAGCTGCTACAATTGAAGCTAATAGAGACCAGTCATCAAGTAGTTACATATTAATAAATGATCCAATGATCACTGATGTACAGTATACACTTATTGTTATTAGTAGGAACTAATGTAGTATCATATTGTTCATCTACTCAGAAGTTAACCAACCAATAGCCAGAACAAGTGACAACCACAAGCATGAAGAACTGAATTTACCGTAGCTTGCATGATTGTTAGATAAGGATTCAATTTTAAAATGCTCCTAGTTAAACAAGAGTATTTACCTCTGGTTCTTATTGTACCAGCCCTCTTAAAATTTATTGGCATCCCAATTTACAATTATTCATACTCATTATCAATGATACAGTATTGGACCTCATTCATTGTATGTTAGTCCTCACTAAATCAATTAATGTTTAACATAATGTCACCTCCTCCACATTATAATGAGACACACATTAACTGATCAATCATTAGCTGATACTAATGGGTAATGTTCATATACTGTATATTACATACAGTCACTAGTCAATAGTGTCTGCTGGAGTAGAGGAGGAGGTGTCTGTTATAAGGAGTGTATCTGTTAATAGTATCACATTGTACTAATAATAGTGATAATAGTATTTAATAATAATTGTCTTTAATAGTTGTTTGACGTTCCCAAACTGTTTGACTGATCCCACTACTGTCACTAGTAATGTTATCATATCTTCAATGAGACACAGGATATATTATAATAATTGTTAGTTTTATAGTAACTGCTGGTAGTTCGTCAACAACAGCTGCTACTAGAGACTAACGAATACCTAATAAATGATCCAGTCACTGATGTACATTATATACTTAATGTTATAAATAGGAGCTACTGCAGCATCTTATTGTTCATCAACCAATACATATACACCTTGACAACCACATGCATAATGAAATGAATTTTTGTACCAGTTTACTATCATACCAGATCCAGATTACCATTATCTGTACATCATTTAGTATTGTACATACAGTAGTGGTCGTCTCCACTGGAAGAGACACACAGATACATATAGAGGTGTCTGTTGTAAAGAGTATATCTGTTAATATAGTAATCACAATGATAGGAATTTTAGTGATTCTCAATCATCCAGACTTAGTCCAAATTCACATAAATGACATAACTTTATGTCTGGTCCTGTTAACTGTTAACAGTACCCCTGCTTGCCCTGATTTAAATACTCATATTGAGGTACATAATGATTGATGCCTTGTGCTGCATAGAAAGTTTTAGCTATTTCTAAAATCAAGAGTTATAGTTATCATTATTATTGTATAGGAATTGATTTGAAATAACTGAAGAATTCAAGACATCATTGACTACAATATGCATGTTATTATAAACTCTACTATCACAATTGTCACATAGTGGGAGGGTAGTAGTGTAATATATCTCTTTTCCACTTCTCTCAGAAAAAAAATCATAAAAATCCAATTTTGATTGGAACCAGCTCAAACTTTCTACACAACATAAGTGCATGTAAACATATTAGGAAAAATTATTAAAAATGGAGAATTTTGTCTTAACAATTTTTGTACCATAGTAGTCTCACAAGCCAGTACACCAGATTATTGAGCAATGTTAAGAATTGTTGTAGTGTGAATGGGACAGTGGGTATAATTCTACTTCCTCTCTTTCTTCTTTTTCTACCACAGATTAGTTCAAATTATAGTGGGATTCTCCCCTGCGTTGGTGGGCGTGGCTCTCCCACTGGGGACGTACACATTTACGTAAAGAGGATCCTACCTGAGTCAGTGTTACAGAAAGACTCAAAGATAAAGACTGGAGATGAACTGGTAGCAGTTAATGATTTAATAATACATAATGTAACTAAGGACTATGCTACTGAAGCTCTTACTAATGTACAGGGAGCAGTGAGACTACTACTGATACAGGACCTATGAATGAGGATGATATCTGGAGACTGGATTGAATGAATAAATTTATCTCTTTCTCTTCTTTATTTCTTCTTGCTTGTGCTTTGTTTCCTTTTTGTTTGTTTCTTTTTAAAATGTGTATATTTGTGAGTGTT